TCAAATGGTTAGCAACTTAGTCAATCTTATAGCTGCAAAGAGTCATGCTAACATTTTCTTATAGTCAAAGCGACAGCAGGTCAGAGTTGAGCTAAGTCCTGCCAAATGTCAAGCTAATAACTTGAGAAGTTGTTCACTTAGCGAGTCAGAACTTAGCTTGACTAGCTGACTTTTGACTGCTAAGCCTAGGAAGAGCCAGATTTACTGCTGCTTATAGTAAATGTGAACTCTACTTAAAACTGACAGTAACGCTAACAGCTACCCTGAATCAAGCTAAAAGCTACCTAGATTCTAGCTAACGGTTCAGAGTCCAACTAATGGCCACTGAAAATCTAGCTAACAGCTACATCAAGTCAAGTGAACAGTAAATCAAACAGCTACTTAATGTAAAGCTAACTGATGCTTAAAGTCAAGCTAATAGCTACCAAGCTAACTGGCACTTGTGGTAAAAGTAAAATATCAGCTCTTAGGAATAAAGCTAATAGCTAGTCACAGTCAAACTAAGAACTTCTCAGATACTAGCTAATGGTGACTAAGTGTTTCGCTAACGGCTACTGAAATTTTAGTTAGCACCTATGCTAAGTCAACAGAACAGCTATTTTAAGTCAGCTTACAGCTAATCAATCATTTAAGAGATAATGTATCTAAAACCTCACTTGAGCACAATTTTTCTTTTTTTCTGTTGAGAAAAAGTCAGGATCATTTTTTACTGAATATGTTTTGTTTTTTGAGAGGTTGTGCCCTCACTGGGAATGATGGTGGTTTCTCCGGGCGGCGCGGTGATGGTGACGGGGATGTGGATGGCGTTGCTGTTCAGGGCGGCCTGGCTGGCTCTGGTCGAGTTCTTCTGGTTGTCGGCATCTTCCTGTTTCTCACTCGGCGTCAGGCTGCTTCGCTTCAGCTGCAACGGACTCCCAGCAAGGCTGTCGTCCTCCGTGTCTGCCTGTCTGTCCCTGGGAAAGCAGTGAAATTAACCTAAATGTAAATGAGCTGAAGAAACTTCTAACCTAAACTCTTCTTCTTTGGTTCAATTTAGTGTGTCAGAAGATCAGATTTAATTATGACATCAGTGGAGTTGGATAGTAACTAGTTACTTGGTTTCTTTTACTTGGAGTAATTTTATTATGAAGTATTTCTCCTCTTAATCGTCTGGACTCACCTCTGGATGCGTGAGGAGCGCAGCTTCTTCTCTCCGTTGTCTCCTCTCCCTTTCCCGTCGTCTTGCGCTCCGTTCGTCAGCGGCCCGTTTCCTTCCTTCGGCGTGCGGCGGGAGCGGTGGTGCCGATGGCCTCGCTCCTCCTCCGGTGACCCGTTTTGTGGGCGGAGCCTCTCCCTGTCCTGGGCGGCGTCGGCGTTGTGCTCCCTGCTGCGGCCGTGGTGGCTGTGGCGCCGGACCGCCTGGCCGTCGCCGCCGTCCCCGTTCCGGTCCCGGTGGTGGTGGCGCCTCCTGGAGTGGAAGCTGTCCCGGACGCCGGGCCCGGCCGCCTCCTCCGGCGCGCCGGCTCGGGTCTGGTCGCCGTTCTTGTCCTCCAGGACGAGCGGCCGGTCGGTGTGCGTCTTCATGTCGGGGTGCAGGTGGAGGGCGCTGGAGGCGGCGAGGCGCTCGTCCGGGTCCAGCTCGTTGAACAGCGCCTCGGTGCTCGTCTTCATGTTGTGCTTCCTCAGCTGGTTGGTCCGCTGCTCCCACACCGACATGCTCTTAGCAGATCGCTGCTGCTCCTTGCTGCAAGCATCCAACCAAAACACGGTGAGTAAATCTCAGGTTCTGGTGAGTTCTGATGGGCCGGAGCCATGACATCTGAGGCTGACACATTCCCAGAGAAGCGTCTGGACGAGCAGAAACAGCAGATTTAGGTCGATGGATGGCGAGTTAAACGATCACATGAAGAGGAAAATGAAGAAACATTTTCACTGATTAGATGTAGCTAAGAGAGCGCTAACGCTAAGGCTAACGCTAAGGCTACGTTCACACAGCAGGAAAACCTGAATCTGGCTTTTTCACACCAGTCTGAACCGAAGTTAATGTACTTAATTAAATTAATGAAATAAAGGCTATTATAGCTAACTAAGGCTAACAAAATAAGTATCATAATGGTCAGTTATCATTATTATAGTCTATGCTTTACGCTGCGTTTCCCTACCAAGATGGCCGATCACTTCCAGTTCTGACTTGTGGGAGCAATGTATTATCAATATGAACTACCACACAAAAAAATAAAATGGGAATTGAGTGAAAAGACCTGCTGTGTGAACGCAGCCTAATGGTCTGATATATGGATCCCAGTGAGTTCCAGCTGAATAATGGAAAAACAGTAAATCTGTCACCTTGGTTTATAATCTCACTTCCAGTTTAGTAAAATGTCCTCAGGTCGGATTTTACTGATGTTCTTAATGTAAGTGGTAAAAACTAAGTCCATCCCATAATACTGTAGCTGATTAACTTGATGGTCCTGCGTTTGGTATCATTGACCCATTGATGACCCAGTTTGAGACAAACCTCTGCTGTTGGACAGCCTAAAATCTGACTCTGGAATATTTTACATTTCCCATAAAAGACGTCCAGTTTCCACAATGTGCCTCTTTTTTAACTGCTTAAAAATAAAAAACGATGTGGAGAGAAAACTGGATAAAACAGGAGAGGTCATGGCCACAGTTTGGTAACATTTTAGATATTTAGCGCAAAACTAATCAATAATTATCGACATTGGCTGATATGAAACGTATCATGATACGTTGTTCAGCCTTACTGTTCTTTTGTGAAGAGTCTTATGAGACTCTTAGGCTGCTTTATGATTTTTTCTTTTCACTGTTGAGTCAGTTCTGTCATGGTTTATTTGTGCAGGATTTTCCTGTTTGTTGTGGTGTACCCCAGGGATCCATGTTGGGTCCCATGTTGTTTTGGAAGGAACCTCCAGGATCCATTTTCAGTAAGCCGTGTAACAGGAGTAACAAGGTGGCCTGATAAAACTCCTGCTTATGATTGTATCTGCTGAGGATAAATTAATGACATGCATTCGATGAGCAGCACGTCTGCTGCTTTCACCCCTACATGTAATGGAAGAAATAAGGTTGTGCTTAATTTTTAACAACATTCATTGGAGAGATATTTCATGTAAGAGATCTGTTACATGATGTTTGATGAGAAAAATAAACAATTTGCATACATGCATTTTTCCTCCAAGAAAACAAGAGGCAAGAAAAATCAGATGATTTAAACTATGTTAGCAGTCCAGACTGTCTGTAAGGCATGACTGTACATGGAACCGTTGTCTATATGGTCACCTGTATTTCAAGATATGTCGAGTGGGGGAGCAGTAGACTGTATAACTCCTAAAAGACACACAGACAGAGAAAAGACAGGAACCAGACAGACAGGTCAAACACACACAGACAGGGAGCTTTGGTACGGCTGCACTGGACAACGACACTGACAGGACTGGAGCGGTCATTTATAAGAAATAACGCATAAAACTATAGGAGAACCTGTATAAATATTTTTATTTCATAAACAAAATTAAGCCTTTTTTACAGATTTATGTCAATAATTAGAATAAGGCTGGATGACAAACCAATAACAATATATAATGTGTCTAATATTCAATATTCAATCTATGGAATATAGTATTTTGGGGAGATGTGTACAGAGGAAAGACTTTTGCTAAACAAAGTTGCTGGAATCAACAGACTCACTCGCTCTTTGGTTGCCTAGCAACGACCTGCTGGGTGAGAAGCAGTTTCAAGTCCCCCCCCCCCTCTGGTTACCTAGCAACGGCATTCTGAGTAACTGACGCAGCAACAGTTTCAAGGTTCCCCCAACTCTGGTTACCTAGCAACGGCGTTCTGAGTAACTGATGCAGCAACAGTTTCAAGTTTCCCCCAACTCGGGTTTCCTAGCAACGGCGTTCTGAGTAACTGACGCAGCAACAGTTTCAAGTTTCCTCACTGCGCCTCATAAAAGCTTAGAAATAAAAAATAACGTCATGAAAAGAAAACTGGATAAAACAGGAAAGATCATGGCAGCAGAAATTTAAAACAAAAACTAATTGATAATTATCAATAGACTGTTATGAAACACTTATAGTGAAATGTTTGTCAGCCATATTGTACAGCTATAATTTGGAAGATTATCAAATAGCTTCTTTCAGGAATTCAAGAGTAATTTATTACTTTTACAGAGTGAGAATTATTTCAAATAATTATGATAATTGTGGATTATAGTTAATGAAAACCCCAAAATTTACTTTCTGTTTCCTTTGGTACTTTTGCAGTGATTGTGAAGGGCATAACAAACCATTTCTTTAAAAAAATCCTTTCTAATTTTCTCAGAAACTGGATTCTAGATTTTTATGAGCTATGTCATATACAATTTAAACTTTTTGAAATGAAGTATTTGAGCAAATAATGGTTTTCCAATGCTCCACTGTGACCAACAAAGAGCAGATTACCGATATCAGAGCGGCTCCTTGGTTACTTTATCCCACCATCATGTCACGGCAAACACACTGGAAATGTCAAACTACTTTTGCTGACAGCAATGCTGGGAAATGAAGCTTTTATAAACAAATTACTGGGATCAGAGCGCACAGAGCAGAGGAATTACTGGAGACACCAACAACGATGAGCTGCAGAAACACTAGTTACTGTCACTTTACACTCCAAGCCCACCTCTTTATGTAATGAACTAAACACAACATTTTGTTCCTTCTAGCGAGATTAAAGTTAGCTTTTGAAAGTCTAAAACAGCAGAGAACAAGTAGGAGAGGGAAAGATTCATTTTAAGAACAGGATAAAGTGTCGATGGTAAAATGGGAGGAATTAAGCGATGGAGAGAGAATAAAGGACAATAGGAAGGAAAGAAAGGAAGGAGCAGAAAATTGAGAGAGCGATAACTCACGGTGACTGAATGCTGGTGACGGACGACCTGCGAGAGAGTGCATCTCGATTTTGCTTTACAAAACTGTACATGCAGAACAAAAACAAAAGGAAAAGAATGAGACGAGAGATGTGGACGGGACAGGTGGACGGTGTGTTGGCCTGTCGGTGCCGTCCACCTGTCCCTCCACTCCATGATTCACACAGTTTCTATGAAGCTGCTCTGAAAACACAACCTGAGCCAAACCCGGAACGACTCGACAAAAAACAAAAACCATCCAGGAGTTTCATTCCAGAGAAGGAAGATTTCAAAACGGGCAAACGGCTTTGAATCTTTTTGCTTTGCTACTAAAACTAAACATTCATCTGGAGCTTCTGGTATGACAAAAATATTAGGACCATCGTAGGTAGAAATAAAACAAAAAAACAAACGTGGAACTTACTTCGTGAGTAATCTCAGACGTTTTCTAAAATAAAAAAAGTTTGAACGGACAAAAATCTTGAGCTTTTGGAAATAGGATTAGCACCATAGTAAAGCTAACTGCTACATGGCATTATTGTTAGCACTCCAGTTGAGCTAGCTGCACCAAGAAGTTCGGATAAGCACTGTACCAAAGCCAACTGCTACATGAAATTATTGTTAGCATTCTAGTACAGCTAGCTGCAGCAAGAAGCTAGGTTAAGCACTGTAGTAAAGCTAACTGCAACAAGACGTTAATGTTAGGAGCTAATTGTAGCAGCACCAAAGCTAACTGCTACATGACATCATTGTTAGCACGCCAGTTGAGCTAGCTGCAGCAAGAAGTTATGATAAACACTGCAGCCTAGCTAACTGCTACATGATGTTATTGACTGAGTACAAAAAGGATTAGCCATGTAGCAAAGCTAAATGTTACAGGAAGTTATTAATAGCACTCATGAACAGATAGTTGGCAGCTTAATCTAGGATTAGCATCCCCGATGCCAAATTCAGAATATTTGCACCACATTATGATATCAACATTTCCAAAAACTCCTGGATTAATACTTTACTGCAGTGTGAGATGGAAAAGGATTTGGGAATGAAACCCTGAGTTTTTATCAACAGGAATCAAACAAAATCTGTGCAGTTCAAACAAACCAAAACCACAAGCCTTTTAGCATAGCGGTCAACAACCAAAGGAAATATTTCTGACATGCAGGAACCAAACGCACAACATCACACAACAACAAAGGAGAACGACTGGGAAGCCAAACATCTGGAGATGTTCAGCACTGATCAGCTGCCGGGTCTAAATGACGTCATTCACAGTGGGGAGAACAGCAATTAAGGAGCAAAGATGATCAATTAGTCGCATGAGTAAACGGCTCATAATAATAATAATAATAATAATAATAATAATAATATAAAAGCTGGGGAAAGATTAAAACTGAAAATTAGCGAATGCTTGTTTTTATGTGATCAGGTTAGATGACATGAGGCAAGTTGGCTCCTATTTTTACCGTAGCTTCTCTATTAAGTGAGCAAATTCTCCTAGTAGGCAGTTAATCTTTACAGGCTCTGTCTGGGGGCCAATTGGGCCCTACGAACGATTCTGGGAGGCTCTTAGTCAAGAACAACCTGAAACCAGGTCAGTAACGACCTGACCTGGTCTGGTCGTTACTGTTGTCAATATGCATGTTGTCCATGCATATTGACAACAATATGCATGGAAAAAAATGAGAAGTGAATTTCTGCCTAAAAAATCTTAATTTCAGAAATGTCCAAGAGAAACAAGAACATTTCTGAGTCAGAAAAATCAAACATTTGTTATAGAATTCAGAAATGTTGAGACTACTCAGAAATTTTCTAGAAAAAATTAAAATAATAAAGAAAAATTAAATTTTGAGACTGAGCACAAAGATTTTTGAGAAAAAGAATTGAGAAATTTCAGTTTGAAAAGTTGAACATTTACTAGAAAAAACTGAAAATTTGAGATTGAGCTAAAAAAAATCATAGAAAAAGGATTAAAATTTCCGAGTTTCAACGTAGAACTGGCAGAAAAAATAACATAAAATTTGAGATTAGTGTCAGATTTCTTTTAGAATGAAAACTTTAAAAAATTGGGAGAACTTTAAAACGTAAAAAAAAAAGAAATTTAACTTTTGAAACTATTCTTTGACATTTTGAAGAGTTATTTCAAACTCAGATAATATTTTTCCAAGAAATTTTCTGAAATTAATAAAAAAAAGTTTTTGGCAGACATGTACTTCCATATTACAATATGCTGTTGTACAAAATTCACTGAGGAAACTTTGTGGACATTTTTTCTCTGTTCCTTTGGAAGCGACATAAATCTGAACAGTTTTTATTTTGTCATTTTCATGGAAATAGTTTGATGTGATTTTGTCTCACAAAACTCACTATAGCTTTATTAATATACTGTAATAACATTTGCAATATTATTTATCTGCAAAACAAATTTCATCCTGATATTTTTGTGCATATTTCGCATCTTAAAGCAAACAGTGGAATATCTGTAGAACTGGGAGCAACAAATAGGAGTGAAAAAAAAATCCTCTTTCACTGGTTTTTAGTAAAATGTTAATTAAGCTCAGCAGCAAAACAAACAATTAGCCGAAAGCTGTTAGTAGAAACCCAGTGCTTCCTTAATTGCAGATAAAGTTGGAGAAGACAACAGCCAGAGCAAAACGGGGAGAAGATGAGGAGAAATGCAACAAACAAAAACTCGTTTCTGAGACGGAGAGGGGAAAACATCCAGAGAGAGAAATATAGAGAAACAAACATATTTCCCTCCATTTTGGGAGCAAACAGAGCGAGAAGAAACTTACGCAGCGATGGAAATGTTGGCGGCTGACATCGGGCTGACTTCTTTTACTTCCAGAGCTTTCTGCAGAGCGAGCTTCTTATTGGCTGCTTCCTCCTGCTCCTCTTCATCCTGCCAGCCCAGAGCCCAGGTTTCATGTCTCAGCTGAATATCATGAGGAAAATATAAACCACTTCCTGTTGGTCTGGGTGATTTTTGAGCAGCCCACCTTCGTCAGCTCTTGGGCGTTGGCGAGGTTATCAACAGCGATGGCCAAGAAGACGTTCAGCAGAGTGTCTGAAGCACAACTTTCAGGAAAAATATACACATAGTGGCAAAATATATTTTAAAAAAATCACTTTATTTCCACTAACCGTAATAATGGACAACTTAATCTGCATTTATTAGATTTGACAGACAATAGGAGTTACAGTTGAGTGACAAGTTCAGAAAGTTGGTGTGAAATCAGTGATTATTTGATACACATGTGACAAAATTGCATTTTCATGACTCCTACACGATGCTTCTGCCAGTAATATTGCATGTGGAGTATGATATGTATTCACAATATGAGAAATAAACAAATCTGTGTGAGAAATTACTAAACCTCAACCGTCAGTTTTGGCCTTGCAAACAGCATCAGGACTCCAGCACTCTGCGCAAAATTTATCAGTTTTAATGACTGTAGGACAAGTGAATTAGAAATATTATTTTCTTCCTCATTCTGCATATGGCAAACCTTCTTCATCTCTTTTAACACAAATCGAAAGTTTTGCTTTTTGAATTTGAACTGCTTTCTTCAGTCTAACCTTCTATGTGCAACTTGGAGGCGTGCGCGCTTCTTTTGAGATCAATCTCAGAAATTTCCTAGAAAAAAACAAGAACATTTCTGAGTTTGAAAAGTCAAAAATTTGCTAGAAAAAAAAAATTATATTTTTTTTATTATTCTCAGGAATTCTCCAGAAAGTACTTGAAAATTCCTGAATTTGAAAAGTCAAACATTTGCAATAAAAACTTTATTTTCTAGAAAATATCATTTTAGAGTTTGAAAAGTTGAAAATTTGCCAGAAAAACCCACTAACTTTTGATATTAATCTCAGACATTTTAGGAAAAAAGAACTTGGAAATATATGAGTTAGGAAAATCAAAAATGTTTGACTTTTGAGACTTGGAGCCTTTTAGGTTGAAATATGCAGTTCGATTAATCTGGGTTATGTAATATTCATATTAGTCGCCATCGTTAACGTTTACATCTCTTGTAGCATGTTAAGATATTAACATACATTGGGAATCAATATAGTTGAATTTACACTGTAGCTCTTTTGCATTAGCTTAGCATTACATTAGTCTAATGCTAAAGTAGAAGCAAACGCCACCATGTTGGTACGTAGCACAGAAATGTTGCTAAGTATGCTTTAGCATTAGCTTATACCAACCTAATGTTTATGATTAATGCTTGAGTGTTAGCACAGCTATCAGCTAACTTTTCAGCTATTTTTGCCTCATATTTGTTTTGCTCTCCCTTCATAAGTTCTGCTGTTGCACCGAAGAGGATACAGTTTCCAAAGAGCGTGAGGACGATGAAGTAGATGGAGGAGAACATCCCACGGTGAACGCCGCCATGAGACTCGATGCCGTGGTACATGACGGCGTTCCAGTCCTCGCCGGTCAGGATCTGAGGAAAACGCAGGCTGTGGATTAAATCATCACTTCACAGAGCAAAGGGGGATGAGCACAGGCTAATTGAAGGATTATCACAGAGCTCATCTGGGGAAAAAAGAGATTATTTTAAGCTAATTTGAATTCAGATAAAGAGCTTTGTTTGGCCAGTTTTCTGTGGTTGTTTTACCTGGAACACAGTGAGGATGGCTGCTGGGAAGGTATCAAAGTTTGTTGTTGGTGTCTCATCTTCAAAGTTAAACCTGGAAAATCAGAAACGCTTCATTAAAAACAAAATCACAAAGCTAAAAAACCAAACAAAAAACATAAATATGTAGTTTTTCTGTGTCTGTGGGATATAAAACTTCTTCAGGTCTTCAGAAACAAAACTTTAAAATGTTTTCCAAACATTTTTGTTGCTTAAACAATTAAAAACTAATCAGTTTTAAAAGAATAATATGAAAAAGCCAATAAAATAATTATTGTGCTTGTTGCTTTGCACATGTTTTTCTTCCTTCCACTTAATTTTTTTTTTCTGTATGTAGTGCAACTGGTGACTTTTCTAAATGTTAATGGCGCCCTTGAAGCCATGGCCTCCCGGGTGGAGAGCCATACTGCCCATATTAGGAACCACTAATGGTTCTACATAAAAAATCTTTGTTTTATTGGAGTTTTGTATCATTTTAATTTTCTGAGTTATTGTGTTTTGACTCTTAGCTGAAATTGTCAATGTTAGCAAAAATAAAAGCTTGAAATGATGTTTGGTGAAGCAAATTTAATTGCAAAAAAAAAAAATCTCTTCAGTTATGTTTAAAAAAAATATACGAAATATTTAGTTAGTTAGCTAAAGATTTCTGTCCAAGCAAAATATTTTGCTTGGAAAATGAATATTTATGTTGGATATGAATATTTAGACAACTAAATAGTTTACAAACCAAATATTTAGCTATGAAGTAAACTAAATATTTAGCTTGAAAATTTGATATTTAAATGACAAACATTTAGTTGGTGACTGAATATTTAGTTTGACATTTATAAATGTGTGAATAAAAAGGTGAAACACTGAGAAATAAAACCAATTTCTTCTCTTTATGTCAGGTTAAATAAACCCAAAAATTGCTGCTCATTTTTTACAGTGCAACTTTAGTTTCTTGAAATTACTTCCAACACGGTTTTAACATTATTCCACATATAGTTATTTTTTTAAGTGCAGCAGAGGACTAAACTCATTTAAGATAAAATAAAGTGTTTAAAGTCCTGGTGGGTTTTCACAGCGATGGATTAAACATTCTCCTTCTCGGTTGCATCCCTCCATCGCCTTTCCGTTTATTCCCACCTTCCCTCCATTCCTCCCGTTCTTCTTCTTCTTCTCTTCGGGGATTAGCAGCGCCGAGCGGCGAGCGCCTTGCTCTGTTTATCCTGATAATGGGGATTGGGAGCGCGACCACGGAGACTCCATTACCTCCACCCGGGGAACCGGAGTCACACGACGCTCAGTTTGTTCCCAGCAGCTTCATCTAATCCCGAACACAACGGCAGCAGGTTCTTATTTTTTATCGTGAACCAACCGGAGGAGGCGGCTTAAAGCCGAGCGGTTCTGGATTTACAGGAGGAGGACGGACGCAGAGCGAGAGTCCGATGATTCGGACCAGCAGTGGTTCTGTAGAGCAGCTGGGAGGAAAAACCGTTCTTTAGGTTCCACTGAATGCTGAGCAAGTTTAACATCATACAGATATTTGATTTATAGATATTTGATTTACAGATATTTGATTTACAGATATTTGATTTATAGATATTTGATTTACAGATATTTGATTTATAGATATTTGATTTATAGATATTTGATTTATAGATATTTTCATATTGGTTGAATCAATGAAACCCAGGAGACAAAATGAGAAAAATACAGACTTTGCTTCACAGCAATGATACATCCATCCATCCATCCATCCATCCATCCATCCATCCATCCATCCAACCATCCATCCATCCATCCATCCATCCATCCATCCATCCATCCATCCATCCATCCATCCATCCATCCATCCATCCAACCAAATTCTGACCCTTCAGTCTAAATGCTTCAGATCAAATCGACACATTTCCTGTTTCCTGCTTCCAGGTTTGACATGTTGACCGTTCAGAGATCCTGTTACTGGTTTGCAACCAGTGGATGTTTCATCTGCTGCCCAGTCAACTCTGAACTCCGACAAGCTCCAGCTTACTGGACATTCAGACCGTCCAACCGGCAACAACAACGTCAGTTAAATCTACTTTATTTTCGATGTTGATACTGAATCTAAGGGTTGCCGTCATGTGATTAGCATGAAAACAAAACATTTGGCATTTTTCCAAAGGTTTGGAAGGACTGATCACCACAGATCAACATATTTTCTTTTTTATCCTTTTAACTAAATGCCAAATCTTTAAGATGCCAAACGCCGAAATGTCAAACTGAAAGCAATCCAACTGAAACTCAGAGTAAACAGTTTGAGCGCAGCAGTCTGTGATTTATCTCTGGCTGTAAACATAAGAACAGCAAGTCTGCTGAGAACCACCGAGTCAGAGCAAATCGACAAAGACGCTCTGAAGCTGGAATCAGAAAAACAAATCGTTGCTTCAGACATTTTCTTCCTCTCCAAACGCAGCTCGTGTCCACGGAGTCTCAGCAGGGAAACGGCTCTCTGCTGCTCATTTTCAATTCTCACCATTTAGCCCAGAGAGAGCAGAAACATTCGGAAGAAAAAGGTTGTTTTCCCTTTGTTACACCACAGCTGACAGAGAACAGACTATTTTTAGGTAACTCACAAGATGAGTCATGATCTTTGCTCAGGAACATTAAAAAAACAACACAAGATGCTACTTTACACACTGAACAGGAGTTCAGTCCAGAGAAAGACGAGGAAATAATTGATTAGAGGAAGTGTGTTCAGCCCGATACGCTCAGCTAACTACACACGTCTCGTTGGTGTCAGACTCATCTCACACATGTCCATCAGCAGACAGCCAAGTAACGCTAATGATGTCGCAGAATTAAGCCGGGAACCATGGCAACGGCCTGCTGTCCCAAAGCGCAACGACGCGCGGGGCCGACAGTCACTGGGAGAAAATACGACCAACAACAAGATGGCAGCTGGAGCTTCAGACTTCAGAGGCAAAATATTATTATTATTTAGTTTCCCTTTGGGATCAATAAAGGATTATTGATTTTGAATACATAGTTCCCATGTGATGTCACATTCCTGGAGCTTTGTGACTGACAGCCATCTTGGTAGGCAGTTGCTATGACAACAATAAAAAGATGGCGTGGATCACTTTCGTATTTAATTTCCCTTTCAAGAAAAATTCAAAAAATATATTTTTGAATTTCAATTGAATTTGAAAATAAAAGACCTGGGAGAGATTTTTTTTGCTAAAGTCTTGAGACTTGACTGATCTAATCTTAGCAGCAGATTTTACTTTATGTAATGGAGAGTGAAAGGATGTTGGTACAGACATTTTATTGTGAAAGGATGCAAATTATTTTTAGTCAGTGATGTTGTTGGATGGTAAAGGCTACGCTAACTGTAGCTTTGTAATAATGACCATATGAATGTTATTCCAACCGAACCTTAAATGGATCATTTCAGAAGGAAATAAACATAAATTACATTCAACATTCTCTCGATGTCGAAGCTAGCTTGCATTGCAAGCACTCTTTAAGCTGGAAATATCAAAATAAAAGCACTTCCTGTCCCATTCAATCAGAAGTTAGTTTTATCCAGTTTTCTCTTCATGTTGTTTTTTACTTTTAAGCGGTTTTGAGGCGCAGTGGGGAAACTTCAAACTGCATCACTTACTCAGCAGGTTGTTGCTAGGCAACCAAAGTTGGGGGGAACTTGAAACTGCTTCTTATGCTGCAGGGCGTTGCTAGGAAACCAAAGTTGGGGGGGGGGAACTTGAAACTGCTTCTTACGCTGCAGGCTGTTGCTAGGCAACCAAAGAGCGAGTGAGTCAGTAGATTCCACCAACCTAGCTTAGCTAGAAAGTCTTTCCTTTGCCTACATCTCCCAGAATGCCGTGCGGTTTAATTTATAGACTACTGAATATTTTCAGGTGTATTATCTATCTATTGATGTTGATCGCATGTCTATTGCGATATAATAATTTGTCATCCAGCTCTAGACTCAAAACAACAATATTATCGTTTATCGCCATAGTTAGTGGGACATTTTATCATTTAGCAAAATCTGACAGCACAGTTAGCCAGTAAAAACCAAACTGTTTCCAGGAAAAGTCGGGATGACTGATCCTCAAACGGCTGCATAAAGTCTCACTGTGAAGCTGCTCCATGAATGACAACATTTCACCACCACAATGTCCCAGCAGTGATGTGGGCTGCGATACAAAAGGTTTGTGTGTAAATTGATTCAGAACGTGGGCCAGATGCCAGGCCTTTGATTATGCACAGCCAGCTCTGGGATCAGGAGGTGTTCCTGTCATTAGATGACACGGCGCTCCTGCTGGGGCTGATATTCAAAGGGCTCTGGTTGGAGCTGCTGCTCAGTCAGCTACCCGCTGCGCCGACATGCTTGTCACCGCCGCCACCGCCGCAGCAGCAGCAGCAGCAGCAGCAGCAGCAGCAGCAGCAGCAGCAGCAGCAGCAGCAGCAGCAACAGTCCAGGGATCACAAGCAGAAGGACGGGAGAGGATCCTGGTGGAGTCGCTGGGGGTTTGTGTGTACGGTGGAGCAACAGAGACATGTTGGAAATATCACTCACTGTCCGCCGAAGAGCTGCATGCCGAGCAAAGCGAAGACCACGATGAAGAGGAAGAGGAGGAAGAGCAGGCTGATGATGGACTTCATGGAGTTGAGAAGGGAAACGACGAGATTCCTCAACGAGTTCCAGTATCTGAGAGCAGAAAGAAAAGCATTGAACAAAAGGTTGGTTAAAAGGGTCATTTATGTAGAACAAAGATAGAGCATCACTAATTCAACATGTTTTTTACTTTATGACTTAAGTAACACAATCCTTTGGTAAGCTAGCTGTTTGAGCTGATGCCACGAAAATAAATGGTGGTTTACATGCAGTACCTGGCGGACCAGTAGGGGGCACCAGCGGTACGAGGACCACAGTTTGAGAAACACAGATTTAAAGTGACAGAGACCCTAAAACATTTCAAAGCTGGCAGAACTGATCAGACTAAAATCTCATTATCTTGATTTTGGGTAGAAAATGTCCATAGGCCGATCCCAACCTCTTCAAGGAAGCATCATTGGTCACTTTTAATGTCCCATCAATATGGATTCTCTTTCTTTTTGAAGAGAGACAATGTAGGACACCCAGAGTTTGAAGCAATCCAAACATGCTCTGAAGGCCTAACAGGCCATCAGCTGCCAAGTGCATAAGAAGCCAAATGTTTGTTTGCTGAACAGAAGTTGACCTGACAGCAGCTTTCCTGAAACAAACTCACTTGGTGACTTTGAAAATCCGGAGGAGTCTCAACGCCCGAAGCACGCTGATCCCAAACGATGCTCCTGGTTTTATCATGTCCCAGATGACCTCAAAAATGCTTCCCACGATCACCTGGACACACCGGAGGAGCAGATGCTTTTAGATCTGATGACGAGAATTAACCAACTGCAAGAAAACTAGTCAGATGTGTTCAGAAAACTCTGAGTGCAACTTCCTAAAGCTTAACCCAGTGACTGTTTTATTCCTGAACATCCTTTTGTTTGTTTTTTAGGTTGTTTTCACACCTGATAGTCTGGTAGATTTGGTTCAATTGGGGATCAAATCTGCAACATTTGTTACATTTTCTGTTTAAAACCAAACTAAGTGAAAAAGCTGTTCTCCTCCTCGCCTGTGGGGGCGCTGCACAAACAACCACTGAAGTAAACAACATAAAAACCTCTGAATAAGACATTGAGCACAACTTCCTGCTTCACAAAATGTAAACAAAAATGGAGTAGCGTCAGATTTTAGCAGCTGTATGATTCTGCTGGTAAACGATCAGGAGACGTTTCTCATGCTAGCGGTAGTTAGCGTCCTTGTTTTGGCTGCATTTACCCAGAATGCACTGCGCTGTAGTTCACTTGAGGTTAACAGATGCATTCGAACCGCAGCAGAGTTCAGTTCAAGAGGTTTTGTAGGTGTACCAGAGTTAAACTTTTTGGTTTCATATGTGCAGGTTGGCATTTAATCACCTTCCTGCTGTTCAAAGCATCAATCCTGATCATGAATGAGGCTTCATATCAGTTTGGCCAGACTAACTGGAACAAGCTGTTAAAATCGTTAAAAGAATGAAGGAAGCCATTTTGATTCGTGCCACTTACCCCAAAGTCAAAGCAGTTGAAGGACGAGTGGAAGTAGTTTCTGGCTCCGAGGCCGTACATCTTCAAGGTCATCTCCGTCAGGAACAGACCCAGAAACACCAGCTCTGCTGTGTCTGGTTGTAAATGAAACTTTTCATTAACGGGATGGTGAACGCCTGGCTTTCATCAGCGTGGCTGTGGTGATCACTCACAGAGCGCCCTGGTCAGCCAGTCCGGCTGGTCGTAGTGGACGATGGCCACGCACAGCGTGTTGAGGCCCACCAGGCACAGAACGATCCAGTAGAAGCTCTGGGCTTTCACCATCCGCCGGATGAAGAACCGGAAGCGCTTCTCTTTGCGCCGGAAGTAGGATGAGCTGTCCATCTTCCCGCCGCTTTTCACGCTGGCCCGACCGAACGGGGAGCCGGGGGGAACTGAAACGATCCAAAAACACGACAAATAAAATACATTTTCATTCCAACTTCAACTCGACAAACTGAATTTTATTCAAGTCAAGTTCTCGTCTCTGACAGTTTCATCTTAAACAGGAAACAATTGTTTGTTTTAGGAGGTAAAACTGGAGCAGTCGACTAATACACTGCAAAAACACAAAATCTTACCAAGTATATCTCTTTAGCTTCAAGCGCTAATGTCTGTTCACTTGAAAACAGACAAAAATAACTGATGAGTAACTTTTCAGCGAGAGACAGAAGCTTGTTTTGAGAGAATAATTCCTTAATTTTGATTTTAAAAAGTACTACTTCTACTGGCAGATTAGTTCACTTATAACATGGGAAAAATGTTTTGTTACAAATGAAATAATCTACCAGTGGAACTGGAACTGGGTTGCTAGGCGACGGGCTGGGCTTGGCTGGCGTTGCTAGGTAACGATTCTGAAATAATCCGCCAGTGGAATTAAAACTTTTTCTTCAATATTAAGGAATAACTGACTCAAAACAAGATCCTACATCTTCCTGAAAAGTTGCTTATAAGTTTAGTCTCATTTCAAGTGAACTAGGATAAAAATACTTGGTAAGATTTAGAGTTTTGCAGTGTGTAATCAAACTGGGACGAGACAAATTGGCTTATTCAGGAATTTTGACCAATAAGGTCAATAATCAACAAAGATTTGAAATGTCTTGCAACAGTAGAGCCCTGTTTGGTCACTGAACGAATGGAGAGAGTTACGGTAGTCAGTATCTTCACCTAATAATTAAATATAAATCAATCTTCAAGTCTTAGGTCATTTTTTAGCTGTTAAATGTCCAAAAACTGCAAACCAAAGTAGTGAGAACATCCAGTGTCGTCACTACTCAACTTATCAAGCAGGATAAATCCTAAAGTTCAGGTTTTTCTGTGAGATTTTTAGCCTAATCTGATAAACGGAGGTCAAAAGGTCAGGGTCTTGTAGAAAACTGGCTGCTTTTCTGTAAAAGGCTGTGAACAGATGGTGTCCTTTGACCTCCAGATGACCCGTTTACAGCAGATGAGCCTTACCAACAGAGGACATGTCAGCAAAGGGATCGTCGCCCTCCTCTGCACCAATCAGATCGTTTTTGCCCTTCTTGATTTTCCCTCGCTTCAGAACTGCAGAAACAGCAAAAAACACAGAGGATGGAAACCAGGAGTTAGAACTCAGTTTGGTTCTGTTAATGAAGGAACTAATGATGAGCCAAAACAATCAGCACAAAATTAACTTTTAAAACAGCTGCTGCAGAGTGGAGAATGTTTAGAGACCAGTAGAAAATATAATCTGTATTCAGGTAAAATAAATTAATTACCAGCTGCTGACAAAACTGTTTGTCAGCAGCTGGTTTTCAGCTACTGATATAAAAAAACTACGGACCACTGCATCGTTAGCATTAGCACTGTGGCATCATTAGCAGCAACAGGAAGCTAGCAAATAAATACAAATTTGTATTTTTGTATTTGCTTCCTGTTTCACTAGCAGAAACAGGAAGTCAGCAGTAGAACTGAATCACTAGCAGCATCAAAAAAAGTTAGCATTAGTACTGCAGCATCGTCAGTAGCAACAGGAAGTTAGCATTAGTACTTCTGCATGGTTAGCTGTTACAAAAAATTAAATTGCGCCTGCAGCATAGTTAGCTAACAGGAAGTTTGCATAAAGCCAGTTAGTAAACACAGGAAGTGAGGTTTATTCCTCTGCCCTTCTGTAGTAAAAGCATCTACTGGTTTTCCCAAACGTCTGTGGAAATCACTAAATCACCTAATTTGCCTAATTGGTCATCTGCTTGTAACTGTAACGGATGTTGTGGAAGTGATTAGCGGCTACGATTATTTATGTCAGCAGTGACTCATATGCCACCAGTATAACTGTCCTCCTAAATCCCTGAGTCTGACTGACACGTTGCTCCATTACTCACACCTGTTATTTATCTGAAAGAAACCAAACGCATATTTTCTGCACCAACAACATCACAGCCGCATTTCTACAGCCGAGGATTCAGACGTGCTAATCCTCCGTTTGTGACTAATAGAGGACAGAGGAGTGCTGGCTTCTGCCGCTTTGTGTGTGTGGAGTGTGTGTCTGTTTTCTGGCAAAAGCATAACAACTGTGTGTGTGCGTGCATGAGAGAGCGAGCTTGGGAATTCATTTTCACAATCCAATCAGAGTACGGCTGTAAATCTCACATATTAACCCCGATTCCTTCACATCAGGCTGTAAAATTTGAATTTATCAGCAAATTTCAAGTTTACAAAAAAAGTTGAAAAAAAAAAAACTAAATTTGTTTTTGTATCATAAAATATACATTAATGTTCTCTGTAGCAGGAGATTTTATTGGTAAAATGATTTTCTAAATATTTTTTTCAATCTCAGAAAAACTATTACTCTCATTTGTCAGCCCCTCCAGGAGTTTGCGATTATTATGTTACTTTAGAAATATTTGTGATATTTTTTCTTTATCAAGTCCAAACAAGATAAGAGATTCGACTCAAACATTTTTAATCTTTAAAGAACCCACATAGTCACATAGTTAAATATTTTCTACCACAATTATCATAGATTATAATTTTATATCAATTACGGTTGAAACAGAAGCTTAGTAAAAATAAGAAATACTGCCACCTGCAGGTGGGAGTTAGCACCCCTTCAACCAAAATTTGTTTTTTTTTTTTTACATTTCTGCAATAACCTCACAATTATGAAAGAAAAAAATGCTGGAATCTGTTGTTTCCTTGATAGAAAATTTATATAAAAAACTGGAGGAATTAATTTATAGTGCTGTGTAATAATATTCATATAATTTGAACTTCTGCCCAACCAAAAACTTCAATTAGTTTTTTTATGATTTTAGATGATAGACCAACACAAACTGGTGGATAATTGATAATCTGCAGGAAAATTAAGCATATTTTTACATCTCTTTTAATTAATATCTTAATTTTAAGAAGAAAAAAAAGTGCATAAAAAGGTAAAAAGCAAATATTTTGTAAAAATGTGCAGATTTGAGGCTGAGGAAATATTCAAAATTATGGAAAAACACTAGAGCAGAAAATTAGAAGCACCTTACATAAAAATTAGCATTAGGAACACGGAGTTTAACTTTCAGTAAGCGTTTAAAACGCTGCAGTTAGCAGCAGAACGCAGCAGAGCATCTCTGCAGAAACACATTTTCCTTTCCAATCCTGAGATGCTTCAACGACCTGCCAAGAAAACTGGGAGAAACGAGAAACCCTCACAGGAAGGTGCTGAGGTTCTAGAGCCAGGTCTTCCACCGACACCCAAATCTGGTTTATTCATGTAATTAGGATGCGTTTTACTTATGTAAATGTAATATTTGATTCTTCTGTTTTCAATAAACCAAACATGACTGGGTTTTTCTTGACAGAGAGACTAGATTAGGTGGAAAAAGTCAGCTGGTTTATGCACATTTGAAAGCAGATGCTCGGTTTTCACCTGAAAGGTTCTGTTTCCTCTTGTACCAGGCGCCGTCCATCGGGGCCTTCTCCTCAGCAATCTCATCTTCTTCTTCTAGCAACACCTCCTCTGCAGCAGAGCATCGGTGTGTCAGATTCTGCTCTTATTACTGACAGCCTGGTGTTTTGGTTTCCGGTCTCTCACCCGCCTTGCAGATCCACTCCAGGTAGCCGGTGAGCTCCCGCTCGATCTGCTGCTGTCGCCGGAGCTTCAGGAACTCCTGACGCTTCTCCACTCGTTCTCGCTCTTTGGCAAATTCTCTGACAAGAATTTTATTTTTTTTAAATAGACAGAACAGACTGCATTTAAGAATGAATTATTAGCTTTTTTACAAATGAAGACGGGACTGATATGGTTCATTAATCTAAAGCCATTTTTGTTCCTGGACCGCCGATTCAAAGTGACCAGAGGCGCCCTCTGCTGGATGGCGGCCAAACTACAACGCTGAAAGACGGTCTAAGCTGACATTACCACTTAATCAATTGGAACTAATTTTAATCTGATAAACCATTAATCATAAATCGATTCACTTACAGAATAATAAATATAAACATATTCTTCGTAAGTGGACTTACCCTGACAGGACACCAAGCACCAAGTTGAGCATGAAAAAGGAGCCAATGATGATGAGAGGGATGAAGTAGAGCCAGTTCCAGTTGTTTCCCACTGCATCATTAGTCTGAAAACAATTAAAATTTTATATGTAGTCGGTTACAAATGTTATTTATAGGAGTAAAATAATTACACAGACCTATATTCTGCTGCTCGCCCTGTTTTGTCTGAAGAAAAATCTTTCATGATTGTAAAAAGATGGGCAACGTTACCGATTTAACACAAACTGTCACAGTTTTCCTCCGAACAGCAGCGTCTAACTCTAATTAAAGTTGTTCCTAATAATCCGGCATTTTAAAACAGCATTGCAACACCAGCTGCCACATGAAAACATGCCGTATTTTTCCCAACCTTTACCAAACTAAAAGGTTTTCTGCAGAATCAGAGCTGCTGTTTTCCACAAACATGTCACTGCAGGATTTCTCTCAGCTGGAATTAAAAGTATTTTGAAATTTTTTATCTAACAAAGAAAACAATGAGTTCACACCACATGAGTTTTAACAGCAAGATGTGGAGGGATTTTCATCAGAACATATAAAAGCAGGAGATTTTATCTATATTTTATCTATATATATTACAGGTCTCAGTTTGTTCATTAGGTAATTAAATTAGGGAGTCAAATACAAATTTAAGTGAAATACAAATTGAAATAATAATTTTTTTAAATTACATTTTTGCTCCCTCTGCTGTCCATTAGAACAGACAGGCTAGGATTATCATTGTATAAGCTAGCATTAGCATTAGGCTAGGTTAAAAACTAGCATACATAGGCTTATCATCCATCAGATTGTCACCATTGTTCATGAACATAGATAAGCTAGGATTAGCATTGGATATTAGCTAGGATTAGCATTGGATATTAGTGTTAGGCTGGGCTAGGCTAACAACTAGCATGCCTAGGCCAGTCACCAAGTGGTTTGCCTACTTCCTCTGCTATTCATTAGCAAGGATAGACTAACATTAGCCTTGGCTAGTTTAAAAGCTTGTTATCTAAATTGTCTACATAATGCTGTGCATTAGCACAGATAATCTAGCATTAGCATTGGGTGTGTTTGTGTTAGGCTTGGCTAACAAATCGCATGCCTAGGCTGGTCACCCATTACATTGCCTACTTCCTCCACTGTTCATTGTAACAGATAAGCTAGTGTTAGCACTAGATAGGCTAACATTTAGCATACTTTGGCTGATCACCTGCAATTTGTACTTTTTTCTTTAAAGAAAATGCTTGACATATAATACCTGTGTGGCACAGGTATTATATGTCATATGTTTGCACTGCTGTGTTCTTATGACAGCTAACTGTAATTCAGCGTGACATCAAACATAAACATGGTGAAGACTGAGTTTGAGTGGCGTGGACAGAGTCCTGCTAAGCTACAGCAGAGATGCTAATCCAAACCTTCTTGTCCAACATCAGCGTCTGACCTCATGAATGTAAAAAATGTCAGGTAGTCCCATAAAAGTATAAGGTAAAAAGCTTTGCAGAATAGCTCAAACAGTCTGGGCAGCAATGGATGGACCACAATCCCTCTGAACCCTGTGGATTAATGGAAACACGTCTTTTATACATCTGCTGTTCTACATGTAGAAATCTACAGAAAAAAGCTGCAAACAAAGCAGGTGCTTAGATAAATGTCACAGAGACCTCCATTAAGGCTATCAAATGAGTTTGTTTTCATTTTTTTGTCTGCTTCAGTTTTATTACAATCAACATGAAGTGGCCTGAAACACTCCTCCTACTCAGCGATGGTGTGAATAACAAGCAGTTTCCATCTCAACTTTTTCAGGCAACGATCCAGAATTGGTCACATTTTACCCTAAAAGACGTTTTCCTACAGTTTCTCTTCAATTGTCTCAAACAGCCTCAGTTTGTTTCTGCGCTGCAGTCGTGCCTCGGGAAGTAAACGTCCTCCGTGCCTGAAAGCGCTTCGGTGACACTTTGCAGACGCCGATGTCAAAGTAATTGTGATGGGAGGTTCCGGCCGACCCGATCAGTGGGCTGCGGTTCTGTATTATGCACCAGAGAATCTGGGATGAGAGAATGAAAATGTGCTGCAGCGAACCCTCCGGCCCCCGCTGTCAGAGCAACAACCACCCACCCGGAAGGACGAACGCCTGGCTTCGTTTCTTTTCAAGCGTTTCATCACTTTCTCATCATCGGCTTGTTTTCTCCTCCATCTTTTAACTTAGAGTCATTCAGTTCGACACTTACATGAATGTCTGTTCTGCTTCCTTCTTCATTAAGCTGAATTCGGGTTATAATTTGACAATTCAGGCAGGTGAAGGTCTGCAAAACATGATGGTGCTAAGCAGCCAATTTAAACCAGAGACCAGAGGGGAAGTTTGTCCTTTCCTCAGACTGGATGACAGATTCAAATCGGAGATCAGGGAAATAACAGGTGTGTCAGAATAAGCAATACATCTATTAAACACACCATGAATATATATATATATTTGCTCAATTTGCTCTTTTTCTATCAAAAACTGGATGATAAAAGTCTTCAGTCTGGTGTTTTGGTCTCAACTAGACCTTTTTAAGAACATTGTTGCTTACAGACACTTAATTCATTTTCTTTGTTGTTTTGTTTTATTTTGGAGATTTAAAATGTCTTCCAGTGCCAGTGTTAAATGTTCACTAGAATTTAAAGTTTGTTGTACTTCCATTATTTTACCACCATCAGTATTTAGCCTTGGATAGGCTCAACAATGGTCTCAAAACAGCAATATTATCGTTTATCGCAATAATTTCTGGGAGAATTAATAGTCCAGAAAAAATTGCTACCAAATGCAACCAACATCCAATCTTTTCACCCATAAAAATTTAAATTCGTGCCTCTTCCATAGGTGGAACTAAATCTGACATCCGATGGTTTTCAAATCAGTCCAAATGATCGCATTTTATCCGACTTTTACTTCGTTGCTCCCAACAAAATCAATAAGTATTTGCACAATCACTCTCTCTGCTCTTACTCATTTTTTGTACTACTATGTAAAATTGACTTTTTGAGATGATTATAAAGTGAAATCATTTAGTCTCCATGGCAACCATTCAGCGTTACAAAACGCCTAGGTGGACTTAGCCCCGCCTCCTGGGCGCATCTCCTCCTGATAGGTCACAGAGCAGCCCTCCCCTACTCAGTTCCTTCAGACTAGCCAGAAGAAATTAGCAAACACCTGGTGGAACTACGCAAAAACAACAAAAAGATCCCGTCCCATGCTAAGGTTTCTCTCACAGAGCTCACTTTGAACACCAACTGCCCTCTCCATGCATTGGAGAAACACAAACCGCCGCCCTCAGTAGCAGGAAAAGTGAGGAAGAGAAGATAAAGTGAGACTCTCTCTTGTGTCATTTTGCATTTTTAAACTCAGCCAGCAGGAATCGATGCTTTTCCTTTGACATGGCCTCAACCTGGCAGCTTCAGCAGTTCAACCAGTTCATCTGAGCAAGCAAAGACATTTTTCTGGGAGGTTTCCTAGATCTGGTGATTAAATATAATTCTGCAGCCTTCATACTAACACACAGTTTCCTTATGATGTTGGACGTTTTCCAAGAACACCTCTGGTAAATATTTGGCAGTCTAGCAGAATATTTAGGTTTATATTTGACCTCCGTAACGATCAGCATGCAGGAGTATGGAGGAAAACGTGAATATCTCGAGGACATCAGTGAAGGACACCCATCATTTCATTTCATCATATGTCACTTCATGATGGAGGTGTGATTATCAACATAACAGGCAGCCTGCGGCGCCGTCAGGAAGACACATCTGAGGCGCCGCTAAGGTTCAAAATACAGATACAGGCAAAGATTTTCTGAATAAACTGTGCCGAAATAGCAAATAAGCTGTTATTCTGGCAGATCGAGCTCGTCCCTGTGTAGCCTCACACTGATACCTGAGCATTTAGCATTCAGCATTTAGCGTGAAGAACTTTTCTATAATTCATTTAAGAAAAAGGAGTGAAGGATTCAGGGCACGTATACTATTATTATTCCTTCAGTTTTGCTGACTTCTAATTGCTGCAAGATGTTCCCTGATTTCAAAACTTTAGTTTGTAATTCCAGTGAAAAGTTTGGTACAGAGTGGATTCAGCCTCCAGATCAACATCAAATCCCTGAGATATTTCTAAAAGTAAAAGTAAGAAATGCTGCTAAGTGCAAGTGGGAGTTAGCATAACTTAAACCTGATGTTTTTAACATTTTGGCAGAAAATTTGCAATAAGCTCACAATTATCCGTTGGCATAAAATAGTGGAGGGATCTGTTGATTTTGTGTGAATTTTGATGTAATTTGGCAGTGTACAGATAAAATCTGCTAAAATAATATTATAATGTGTCCCGCTGGAGTTGACAGGGCCACATAAAGAGCTACAGTGGACCGGATTTGGCCCCCAGGCCTTGAGTTTGACCCCTGTACAATAGATGGAAATACTTTTTTGCAATATTTTCAAAATTTGCATGATAATTGGGTAAAAATATGGCTACTGTGGCTTTGCTTTCCTGACAGTTTTTCAAGTAGGGCTGGACAATTAATCAATAACAATATATATCACGATCAATCCTAACGGATGATACAGCGGATAGAATACACAATAATTTCACTGAACCGCACAGCATTCTGGGAGATGTAGGGAGAGGAACCGCTCAACCTCTCAAGGCTAGCTAAGCTAGGTTGGTGGAATCAACTGACTCTAACATTCTTTGGTTGCCTAGCAACAGCCTGCTAGGTCAGAAGCAGTTTCAAGCCCCCCTCCCCCCAGCTTTGGTTACCTAGCAACCACATGCTGAGTAGCTGGCACAGCAGCAGTTTCAAGTTTCCCCGCCGCGCCGCATAACTGCTTAAAAATAAAAAATAACTGTGAAGAGAAGAAAACTGGATAAAACAGGAAATGTCACGACAACACCTTGGTAATATTTCAGATATTTAAAACCAAAAAACTAATCAATAATTATAGATATCGACTGATATGAAACATTTATACTGTAATAAGGTTTTCAGCCCTGTATACTTTCAAAATCGCCACATTGTGATCTGTTTTCCAAAGACCTGCAGCCTCCGTTTGGCAGCTCTCACATCCTGGATTTAAAACAAAAACATGAAAAAGGCAAAAAGCTGCCATAAAATTTGGATTCCAGGGTGACAGTTTTTACTCCCACTCCCTGCTTCCGGATCAACCATCATCACACAGATTCAGGAACAAGGAAAGCCTGCTGGAGGGACGACAGCTGAAGCGTTAAGTGACAGAGCTAAACAGCCGGGGCGGCACGCAGAGCTGAAGATCTTTCATTAGAAAGATGGAGAATCTATCAAAAGAGCCGCCTGAATGTGAAGCTAACGCTAATCCGCCTCCTGGGGAGACGACTATTATCTCCAGACTTTGGAAATAATTTACCACAAAGTAATTTCAGTGAGATTTATTCAGCTTTAACCTTAACTGCGCCGGTTCTACATCCGAATAATTTCACTCACTATTGTGCGGATGATAATTGTTATTTTTGTCTGAATTTCCTGTATTTTTATTTTTAAAAAGCAGGCAAATGGTGATATTCATGCCTGAAATTGGTCATATCAAGTTTTAAACTATGTAACAGTATGACTAACGTCACATAATTTCACCCGATAGAGGATAAAAAGTAGTTTTTAAATTATAACTTTATATTTTTAGGAGGAAAACAACCCAACATGACCATGTTCCTCCTTCAGTAATTCATTAATCAACTGCAAGTAACCACAATTATTTCAATTTAACCACATTTAGAATCAACAAATCACTTAAAGCTCGTTTGTCAGGTACAGGGTAGTTTTAGAAAATGTCTTACTCAAACTTTCCATGTATTAAAGGTGTTATTTTATTATCTTGGTGTAATATTTTAATTTGAAATGGTGTGTTTTCATGTGCTGTAAACGGGAAACCATGATGTTTATGGGGCGCCATTTGTAAAATTACACAGCTAAAAAAAGGTCAAAATTAATTACAAAATTTCGGTTTATTTAACCTTTAAACAAAGTCATTTTCAAAATAATATTTTCAACATGTTAAGTATACATTTATAAATGTCTTAATAGTTAAATCAAACTAAATGTTCAATTTACAAGCTAAATAATTATTTGGAAATTAAATATTTAGCTTAAAAACTGAATATTTATTTTGGAGCTAAATATTTACTTTATCATTTAAATATATTAGTAGCAAGCAAAATATTTAGTTTCCATTTAAATAACTTGCTAGCTAAAAATGTAACTTGCAAGTTAAATATTTAGTTTTTAAACTGTATATTTAACTTGAAAATTAAATATTCAGTCTGGATCTATCACATTTACAAATGTATAACATTGTGAAAATATGACTTTGAAAAATAAAACTCAATTTTTTCTCTTATGAAAGGCCAAACAAACCAGAATATTGTTGTAGAATTTTGACTAAATGGCATTCCATACATAATCAACAGTAAATAAAGGCTTGAAAACATTATCTACAGAATGTGCTTCACTTAGTGCAATAAATTATGTTTTTAAATAACATTTAAGCTGTTCAGAGGCACATGCTATAAAACTGAAGGTTTCAGGCTGCAAGTTTAGAGTTATTCCTGTTTTATTGATTTATAAATCAAATTAAAGCCGTTTTCTCAGAAAACGAGAAGCTTTCTGAGAACCTGGACTGTTTAACTTCTGTCAGCCTGGACAGAAAATATAAAGAAATGATTGCTGACTGAAGATGCAGACATTTCCCACAAGATGCAGTAATCCAGCATAAAGTCTGACAGAGCAGACGTAATTACCGTAGCGTCTAATTTAAAGGCGGTTGTTGGATCCTCAGGGGAGACGGAGGATATGTAATGAAATCACAGAGCATGAAATATGCATTGCTACATATCGACAGTGAAACCGCCCACAGATCCTCCTGCTGCTGCTGCTGCTGCTGCTGCTGCAGCTGCTGCTGCTGCAGCTGTTGCTGCAGCTGCTGCTGCTGCAGCTGTTGCTGCTGCAGCTGCTGCTGTTGCTGCAGCTGCTGCAGCTGTTGCTGCTGCAGCTGCTGCGCTCACAGCAACATTCACAGTGTGAACCGGAGCAGCATGTTTCCACGTTTTACCAGGAATCTACGGCTAGAAGAAGAAACTGAAACGACCTGAGAGAAGTCGACCAATTTCTACCAAAATTGGTGCCAAACGTTTCTGCAGCAAAGATTTTTATTTGTGCCTCTGTGATTTCAAAGATATGAACAACTAACCATCCATATTTACAAAATCAAACAAAGCTGGTGTCAACCAACATTTGTGCTAATTTATGCTGCAAACTAGCGCAAATTTTCTTATGTACTGCTTTTACTTTGAAGGTACTGATGAAAGTTTTGCGCTGCAAATTTTTTTGTTTTTGCTGCTTTTGCTATTAAAGTTTAACAGTCAAAAGGTCAACTAGACTCCCTCGTTACCCAAATCGAACGAAATTGGTGTCAAACATAAAAAAAATTTAGTTTGTGCGGCTATAATTTTAAAGACATCAACTGTGCTACGTTTGTGCTGCAAAAATTTCAGTTTGTGCTGCTTTTGGTTTGATGAAAAAAAAGTTAAAAGTCAAGAAGTCAACTAGCCCCCCGTATTGCCCCAATCTAACAACATTGGTGTCAAACGTTTGTGCAGCAAAATATTTTGTTTGTGCCGCTGTCATTTTAAAGAAAGTTTCCAGAGGTCATTAGATGTCAACCAAACCTCCATTAGCTCCATTAAAATCTTCAAAACAAAAGCAGCTTAGAGTTGTTTGACACCAATTATGGCTGGTTGACCTTTCATGACCTCTGGAAACATTTATTAATATCTTTACAAACAGAAATCTTGGTTGTGAAAACTTTTGACACCAATTCATTTGATTTACAGAAGGTTGACCTTTTGACCTTTCAACTTTTAGTAATATCTCCAAAGCAAAAGCAACAGAAATGGAAATTTTATCAGCACAAACGTTTTGACAACAGTTTTATTTGGTTTGAATAAAGTTCACTCTGGTAGTGAAAGTTTGGATCTGGAGACAAACTGAAAAATTCGGCTCTGGAGTTTTTGGCATCATTTCCTGGACTTAGCCGTTAAAAATTGATGTCGGATCCAAATGTTTATGTGGATTTTTTCCACATTTTTTCTCTGAAAGTGTGCTTTAAATCCATAAAAAATGGTAAAATATGAATAAAGGTTGGTCCATCTAGGTTGAGTTAATAGTTAGCATCACTTTGCTTCAGTGAGATCAGATAAATTCTGCATTCCTGACTTATTGGTGCAGATCTTTTCACACTACACTTAAAAAAATACTAATTTTGTTTACACACACACTACTTTGAGCCTTTCAAAGATCCCTTGGCCTCTAAATAAAAGTTAGTTTGTTACTCTGTGCTGAGTAAAGCAGCAGGAATCATGCAGCAGATAGAAGTGTGGGCCAGAGGGCGACTCCGGTCCAAACACTTTGCTGATTTTAGTTCTGCTCCAGCGGCCCGCCTTGTCCTCCAGGCGGCTTGGTTTGTCTTTTTAGAGCTGCTGAGTTTTTTCTTTTTATACTTTTGTTTGGCCTAAAAAGAGAACGATGTTTAGATAACCAAACGGTTCGGTAACTGAAGGAGAGTCGGACTGAGGAGGGTAACAGTGACCCAGTTGTTAAAACGACACAAACCCAGAAACCGCACTGACTTAACGACGAAGAGCGAATAAATATGTCAGAACGGATCAAACTAACGACGATTAGAACAAAAACTGATAAACATGGAAATTATAAAACAATCTTTGGGATTGAAAGAAAACTGAAGCAGCAGAATTATCACCGTTAAAATGAATGAATAATTTTAACAACCAGCAGGGAGCACCAAACTGTTGCTATGGCAACCAGTTAGCTCCCTGACCAAGGAGGACGGATGGATGAACAAATGGTTGGATGAATATATGGTTGGGTGAGCACATGGATGGATGAACAGATAGATGAATAGTTGGATGTGGAGATGCTCTGTGCGGCTGACTGGCCGGCTGCAGCTGATTGGCCGGCTGAGGCCACGGCTGATTGGCTGCAGCTGATTGGCTGGCTGAGGCCGCGGCTGATTGGCTGCAGCTGATTGGCTGGCTGAGGCCGCGGCTGATTGGCTGCAGCTGATTGGCCGGCTGAGGCCACGGCTGATTGGCTGCAGCTGATTGGCTGGCTGCCTCTGTGACTCACGCTGTACAGGATGTCCACCCAGCCCTCCATGGTGATGCACTGGAACACGGTCAGCACGGCGAACAGGATGTTGTCGAAGTTGGTGATGCCGAAGTTGGGCCCGGTCCAGTACTCCTGGCACACGGTGCCGTTGGGACAAGTTCTGGCCGGCAACTCCGACCCACACGGCCAGTCCACCACTCTCTCAGCTGAACGACAGAAACAAGGACAGAAACACGGCCAGAGTGAGTCCAACGCCCTGAAACATGTCAGAAACATTTAAACCAAACTGAGACGACAGTTTGGACCAAAATGAAAACGATTCTTTCCTCCATTTAGGTTCAGCTGTGAAGAACAGGTTTTAAGTCATTTTGAAACACCAGAAACAGATTAAACCCCTCAGGGTTCTGAAAGGTGACCGATCCTTCCTTGAACAGGTTAGGATCGGTCTATGGCCTACACAAAACATGTCCATTACTTTTCTTTTTGCACGAAATCATTCTTACATAATGAGATTTTAGCTTTTTCAGGGGCTCCTGTCACTTTAAATCCAAATCAGCTGCTGCTGGCCACGCCCCATACCTCAACGTTTACACTCATATATGAAAATGGCTGCAAATGGATGCTTTGAAAAGCAGAAGTAGAGCCTCCAGCACAATCAACAAAGATACAATAAATTATTTCTAGATAGTAAATCAACAATAAAATACTTGTCTTTTCCAGCAGCCATTGTACAACACATACAGCGGTAAAACCAGCTGACCAAATGTGCTGGAATTCTGCTGGGGTTGCTAGGCAACAAGCTAAACCTGCTGATTTGTGACTTTACATTCCAGAAGTATTTGAAACGGTTCACCAAAACACATTAACCTATTGCCAAAAAAACATCTGGATTTTTTTTTTAAGTGTTTGTGAGACCCAAAAAAAGTACAAAAAAGTGAAAAATGCAAATTTTGCACAATAGGTATCTCTTAAAATTCCAAAATTCCCACATAACTTTATATTTTAGTTACTCAGAACTTCAGTCAAATTTTTACGACTTAAGAGTCGGCTAAAGTATTTTTAGTCTCTTGAAAAGACTGAAAATACTTGTTTTTACTCAAATAAGAGTAAAAAAAAATAAATTTTTACTCTTGATTAACCATTTGGACGGCTCCTTTTTCCTTTTTCCAGAGTAAAACCATGCAGGAGTATTTCATGTTCTGACCTCCAGGCTTGAAGCAGGACTGGTGGAACTTGCCCATGTAGAACTCGACCCCGATGATGGCGAACATGACGATGGCGAAGAACAGCAGCAGGCCGATCTGCAGCAGCGGAACCATGGCCTTCATGATGGACTTCAGCACAACCTGCAGGCCTTCGCAGGAGAGCCATGGGTCAGGGGTCAGCACCACAGGGTGTGTGTGTGTGTGTGTGTGGTGGACTTACTGGGAATCCCAGACACCAGTTTCAGGGGCCTCAGAACTCTGACGGCGCGCAGCGTTCGCAGGTCGAAGTCTGAACCGACGGTGGCGAGGATCCTGATGACACAAAGAACAAGATGGCCGACATGATTCAGAACCAGCAGGACCCGATATGACCTTTAACCTTCTGGTCAGTAAACCAACCAACCAACCATCCATCCTTTCTTCTCCTTCCCGTTTATTTTACACCTCATAATAAGTTGGATCTTGTTTATTCTTAACATTTTTTGTACTAAAACAGTTTTTTTTTGCGTCCATCTTGTTCTGTCTCTCAATAAATTAAAATGTCTCGAGTCCAAAATAAAACCTTAAAACATTTCAGCAGAAAACATGCAACCTAAAGGTTCGCTCATGGCAACACAGACATGAAGCTCATTACATCATGTGCTGTCCATTTCTGCCTTCACGCATGTGTGTGTGTGTGTGTGTGTGTGTGTGTGTGTGTGTGCTGTGGCACAGCTGGCAGCCCTCATTACAGCCTCAACACACAGAAGGAGACTTAAGTGCTTCACTGAGACACACACAAAAAACCAGGTCCTCCAGGCTGGAGACTCAGGGAGAGAGAGGAGGAGGAGGAGGAGGAAGATGAAAATAGGAGTTGATTTAAGGAGACAGAGGGTAAGTGGATGCAGACGAAGAATTATAATAATGTGATGTGGAATCAGACACAGAAACTTTCCTGCACACTTTCTACGCTGCAAGCACAAATTGATTCCTCCATGATTTTACAAGAGATTTTATTCTGCAGCCGCTAAGCCGCTAAGCTAACGGCACTTTATTTATGAAACACTTTTTAAAAATAAGAGCCAATATTAAATAACATTTCTGCTGAGAGGATAACATCCACTCATCCTGGACAAGAACATCACAGCACTTTCATTGGTTTAGTCAAAGTATTTTCCCCTGCAAAGTGTTTCAAGAACAATGTTTTGCACATTGAATGTTGTACATTTTCTCTAATCTGTAGACGGTTATTATAGCTGCAATAAGTGCTGCTGAAGATTTTAGAGCAGTGATGTCCAATTTGTTTTTCTTTTTATAATTAGAAAAATGTATTTCTTTTTATCTGGTAAATTGAAATAAACTAAATACATAGAATCTTGAATTCGATAAGTAAAGTAATCAGATTTCTACAAGCAAGTGATCTGTAAATCATTGTTTATTTAAAACAAAAATTGTCTTGAAATTTTGCCAGATTTAACAAAAAAATGTAAATGATTGTATTTACACTCCTGGTTTCTAATTAGTCATCATAAATGTACTTTTATGGTTAGTGATTTAAAGTTAGTCCAACACATTTTTAGCTAGTAGCCAAACTAGCTTTATGCACACTGGTGGTTAGCTTTACAGTCCAGGTTGGGCTGCAGAAATGAATGAAAAATGAATGGAAGTCAATGCAATGTTGTTGTGAAGATGGAACGGTGTAATTTATTTTTTGTTTGTTTGTGTTTGTGTGTGTGTGTGTGTGTGTGTGTGTGTGTGTGTGTCTTTGTCCATCAGACGATGATTTAGACATATTGCGGTCATGAGCTGAAGAGGAAGCCGTGACTTTTAATATCCTTTTATCGTGTCTGTAACACGTCCATGTCAGAGGCAGAGACTGGCTCAGGAAATATGGAGGTGATGTTATTGGATGTCACAGGAACAGACGGATCGTCTGAAAGCTAACTGGGCAGCACATAAAACAAAATACAGCAGCTGATGAGCTACATACAGCTACAGAATGCAAATAAATTACTCTCAATCAGTCTCAATATATTTCTCTAAATAAAAATATATTTATTGTTAATCAGAGTTAATTACACTTCCATTAAGGATAATGGAGGGAACATAACAGAGCTGGTAATCACCATAATCAAGAAATCATTTTAGGAACAATTAAATTAAAGGCCATTTTCTAGTGAAATAAAACACAAAACAAACAGAAAACCAAATATGACAGTAATTTGACTCCACTGCTTCAGGGAGGAAACGGGAAAGTTTTCTGATATAACAAACAAAATCTTAATCTTTCCATTTTTGCTCTGTTCAGGTTATTCTTGGACAGTTTACTTTGTGTTTTTCACTAAACAAAACTTTAACTTTTCCTTCTTAAACCAAAAACAAAGTTATTCTTCCACATAAATCCTCCCTATTTTCACAGCTGCAGCTTTTGAGGAAGGAGTCGTCACAAGAAGCTGGTCATCCAATCAGAAGAGACAGACAGGCAGTTCTTACAGGTGAATTTCTAAATAAACAAGATAAAATAATTCACATATGTGAAGATATTTGAAGATATTCAAACACCTTCTGAGCCCAACACTTCCGGGTAATAAACACATTCATATTCTGAACATTTTCTAGAGGGCAAAAAGCTGTTTGCTAACAATGACTAGCATTGATTTATCTGTTATCAACATAACCCACAAAATCTTAAATGCACGCCTGATGTATAAAAGAAAAAGGGACGCAGCGCTTTGTTTCTAATTGTCAACACTAATGACAAAGATAAGAAGGTCAGGAAAAAATGGAGAAGGAAGTAGGTTAGCTATGCTAGCTTGACTATGACCTCCTTAACATGTAGATCTGCTGTGGAATTCTGTTTCAGTTCAGTTAGAAAAAGGGCAACCTAAACACCAACTCTGACAGATTATGAGTAGATCAGCTGTTTATATTAGCTAATCAACCACCACAGTGTCAGCTTAGCTAATAGCAGTGGTAGCTAATCTACCACAGCGGAAATGTATAAATTGCAAAATAAACATCGAGCCTAAAAACATAAAACTGTAACGGACTAAATGTTCTGTTCTTTGTGTGGAAAATGTTTGCATGTTGTTTGGTGTTGAATCCTGATATGCTAGTGGAGCTGTTGTCAGTCAGTTGCTATGGTAACGGCACATAAAAAGAGAAAAAAATAGAAGAAAACGTTCTTTAACAGTTTTTCTGCGTTATCTTTCCCTTTGCTCTGGCGCACTGCACTAAATTAAAAATAGCTACATCTCTAGGTTTCATGTAGTTAACGGAGTTTTTCTACTGCAGCAAGATTTCCTGATGTAAACAATAACCTGTATATATAGGGTGAGAAGGTATTGCTGCTAAAGGCCTATCTATTCATAAAAGCAGTTCTTGAGGGTGAAAGGTCATACACGCTGCTTGTATTGATCACAGTTCAGAGGAGACATAAGCCTGATTCTCATGACCAAATAATGAATCTGCAGAAACAGACGCTGTCCTGCAGAGGTCACCACACATAAATCCAGATGCTGCGCTTCGGCTTTTATCAGACAGACATAAATAGAGCTCCTGTGATGCTGAATAACACGGAGGTAAGAGTGACTCATCAGCCTGCCCATTAAAATTTGTAGAGTCAATCCGCAGTTTATTTATTTAACCCCTTTTCTCTTTTCCATTCTTTCATGCAAAGACTCAAATTAACATTTAAAAATAACTGCAGCTCAGGGAAAAGGCAGGGAGATAGTTACGATGTGATAACAGTAAAGGAAGATGGGAAATGAATCACAAATGCTTGATTCAAAACTGATTATGCTGCTGATACGTTTGGACATTGTGCTGCAAACCTTCAGATATATGAATATGCAGAGAATTACATCACTAAAGTTCATACATCTATTTTCAACTGTTTATATAAAGCTGCAGATTCAACATCAACACGGAGAGACGTTTGCAGTCCTAACTCTGTCTTAAACCAGAGAGACAGAGCTGGGAAAATGGGAAACATAATTTCCCAATTTCCATTAGGAAATTTCCCAAACTGAAATAAGGTGATAAAAGGCCGACTTTGTTGTCGTCTTTATGTGGGTCTGAAGGTTCGGGTCTAAAACAAGATTCTAAGTAACTGAGCAAGAAGTTACAGTCAGTCTTATTAACTTATGTTTACCAAATGAGTAAATATAAATCTGATTAAATTTTAATCGTTCCACTGCAGACAGATGAAGGATGAAGAAAATAAAAAGGAAGTTGAAAGTTCGACACACAGGTGGGGAAAAGGAGGCGACCCGAAGAAAGCCAGGCTTCTGAGTGATGTAGTTTAATTACTGCGACCCGGTCCAGCTGGGGGCCGGGGGCTCTGATTGAGTTTTTCACACGTCTCTGTAAGACGAGACGAGCGATCTCTGAGGACAGACACGGGAACATGGCGCTGACAACCTGCCCGGACAACCGCTCCTCGTCTGTGTGATCGTTACCAGCTGGTCTCTGACTGTCTGCCTGCCTCACCGTCTGTCTCTGGCCTCACATCCAAACACAGCCTGTCTGTCCGAGGCTTTCAGCATCGCTCTGAGTCCTAATGTCTCTCTACCTACAACGGCTGAACGCATGTTCTAGTGTCTTTAAAGTACTAAAGGGGATTTATTAGGCAAAATTCACATTTTGGATGTTTTTTTGTGCTTCCATATGAGCCTCAACTGCTTCTAAAAAACAGCCCAGGTTCTTAAAACCACCACTCAGACGTCTTTTGGCAATAAAGTAACGTTTTTTTTGCTCTTAGTCTTTAAGCAACCCCAGCCCCATTACCTAGCAACCCCAGCACAGTTTTGCCCGTTACCTAGCAACCCAAGCTGAGCTCCAGCATGTTTGCTCTGCTGGTTTTACTGCTGTACAATGGCTGCTGGAAAAGACAAAGTGTTTTGTTGCTGACTTACCATACAGAAACCACTTTTTACATTCTTGTTGGTTGTGCAGGAGGCTCAACTTCTGCTTTTCAGAGATTCATGGTTGTATAATTGCACATCTGTTTGCTGTGAGTGTAAACGTTGAGTTGGGTGGGCGTGGCCAGCAGGAGTTATGAGGACTTAAAGTGACAGAGTCTTAATAATTTGAACTGAGCAGATTATGTGTAAAAAATGTAACAAACATGTTTTGAATAGGCCATAGACCCATCCTAACCTGTTCAAAGAAGTGTAATAGGTCACCTTTAAGCTTTTATTATCAAATGCATGTGTAAAAGATTACAAAATAGTATTTTAGATTCCTTTCTAAGCATGAAATAACCCAAACATGGCTCTAAAATTAGCTCTTTTTTTTAAAGAGCTGCAAAGGTTCAAAAATATCAGCTCAGTCTCTGATTAGAGGGCGGCCATTACTGCTCGCTTCCTCATCAGGGAGGCTGTTTCCTCTTCCAGCGTTTCTCTGTCAGCAGCTTTGAGATGATCAGATGTGCCAAATGGTGCTGAGAGGCTCTCAGCAAATCTGTAACCTCGTTCCAAGACACTTCTCTCAGAGGGAAGGTACAATAAATCTGTTGGAAAGAAGGGCTTACAAACATTTCCCACAAGCAATATGAATCTCTCCAGTCGTTATTAATGATTGGTTGTAGAGAATTACCTCATTACCAAATAAAGACGTTTGTTGTTTTCTCTTCTCATGTAAAAATGTCAGAACAATCTCATTTAGCAGCAAGCGAGACACCCAAT